AGGCAGGTTTGGGATGGGATGGGCACATCCTCGTTGGCCCCAGGGGTTGGGGCAGGTCAGCGCTGGCGTGTCGAGCAGGTGGTGGGGATCCTCTGTGGGGATGTGGGGCGCTCGCTCCAGGCGTGCTGCCACACGCTGCCCGGTTTCAGCCGCACTTGCTCCCTTCGTGGCGGTGGGGGCTTCTGCTGACAAAAAGCAAAGGAAGTGGGGAGGAGGAGCCCGGCTATTGCCTCGGCAGAGCCAGGGCAGTGCTGGGGTTACACTGGGAACTCTCCCAGCAGTGCCTGGCAGGCAGAAGGGGAGACTTGCCCCATCCCGTGGGGTGGAAGCTGCTGGTGTGGGGGAGCTGGGGCTGATTCTCCTCTTCCCTCCCCCCAGGAAGAAGAGACGAAGCGGCTGCTGGAGCCGGCAGCCAGCCCGCCCAACAAGGTGCTGAACGGAGCGGAGCAGAGCTACCACAACCTCCCGTCGGCGCGCACCGATGAGCAGGCCATGCTGTCCTCCATCCTTGCCAAAACGGCCATGTGAGCCTCGTGACGTAACCACCGCAACCCCTTGGCTGGGAACAGGGGCTGGAGCTGGCCCCGCGAGGGGATGGGGAGCTCCTGCTCCAGAGTGGGGACACAGAGAGGGGGGCTGGGGGGCACCAGCACTGTGTCCCCCTCCGGCAGGGGACGCCCCTGCGTGCACAGGGGCAATGTGGGGTGGGGGCAGTGCCCAGCCTGCCTTGGAGGGGGCTTCGAGTTGCTCGTGGGCCCTGTTGCTTCCCTGCCTGGCACGGAGGGGCTGGTGGCAACTGGCATGTGTCCCGCGGTGTGACAGCACCCCATGCACTGCTCTGCTCAGGGGGGAGGTGGGGGGCATGGGGCTGGGCTGTGGCACGGACCTGGGTGAGAGCCCAGCTCCTCCTCTCTGAGCCCAGGGCCCGGTGCTGGGGCTCTTGGGACGTCTGCCAAGTGCTTGATCCTGGCAGCCCTCGCGGCACAGCGGAGCATCCTTCCCCAAGTAGCTGCGTGCTGAGGTCCCTGGGGCATGGGCCAGCCCGCGCCGCCGGAGGCTGCGGGCC